GGAAGTCGAGGGTTTCAGATAAATCTCTATGGTTAATGTGATAACTCTTTGCTTGTAAAATCAAATAAAAATTATTTCAGAGAGAGAGAGAGACAGACAAACAGACAGTTTTTGAGACCTAGAAACACTGTTTCTGGGCATTTGTTCCCTGTAAACCTTAACAGTGTGGGTGGGGAACCCAGGGCCCTCCAGATAACAGACCATCCAAGTGTCCCTATTTTCCAGGGACAGTCCCAGATTTACAGGAGACAATTCTGATTTGATCCCAGAATGTCCCGCTTTCCCTTAGTACGTCTCCATTTTCACCAGAGAAATATTGGAGGGTATGGAGTTATGTAACCCCCCTGAGGCAAGGAGATACAACCTTTTTAGAAGACATCTGAAGGCAGCCCTGTATAGGGAAGTTTTTACATGTTTTATTATGTTTTTATACATGTTTTAAGCTGCCCAGAGTGCCTGGGGCAACCCAGTCAGTTGGGCGGGTACAATTATTATTATTATTATTATTACAGTATTATTATTATTGAATAGTACATCCCTATTTCCATTAGAGAAATGTTGGGGGGGTATGAGATAATGGTCCCTAACTCCCATTATTCCTCACCATTGGACATGCTGTCTGGGACTGAGGAGAGCTGTAGTCCAACATCTGATGAGCTAAGGGTTTTCTGATCCCTGATTTATCACAGATTTTGGAGGAGTAGCATATCTATTAGAACTTCGTTCTGCCTTTGGGAATGCAGACTCCTTTTAGAAATGAAGACCATTTTTCAGCAAGCCATCCCATCGATGAGACATGTTACTAACGAATAAAAAGCAGCTGAGCTCTTCGGGAGAGTGGCTGATATAAGCATCAAGAGCAAGCCTGCATTTGGCAATAAAGGCCCCTTTCAAAATCCCCAATTATGTGTTCATTGAACTAAATCAAAATCTGGCTGGGCTGGATTAGTACCTTGAAAAACACCATACAAGTTGTCACTCATCCTGGCAAAATCAGTCAAGTACACTGATAAATCAGAAAAAAGGACAACTCTATTGTCGTTGGTTAAGACAGAAGAGTAAACACGCTGCTCTTCCCTGTAAATTTAGAAACACCTGTCTATAACCCTGTTTATAAATTGTGTTCATGAGCAGCTTTCTGCCAGCTCTGCATGCTTTGGTTTTCTGGTCTAATTTATGGCTTTGTTGCTCTGATACATCCGTACAATCATTTCCTTGCAAATAATCAGGGTGAGGTTGATTACTTTGTGATTTCACAAGCACATTTCAAGATGCATTTGATGTTGCATAGATAGGTAAACCCTGAAAGGTGGAAAAGTTATGGGCCTCACTATTTAGATTCTGGATTACTTGAGCTGACATTAGGTGAGCTGCAAGCTGCAGCAGGGAAGAATACATGAATAAGCAAAAAGGGAACTGATTGCCAAGCAAGTGGGCTAGTTTCTGAACGGATGTAGCAACTTTGGACAGAACAGCATGAATGTTTAACGATGGACCAGTTCCAAAATCTACTTTTTCCTCCATTAGGTAATGTCACCCTGTGCTTACTGTGAGATCCAGAAGATAGGGGAACATGTGCAGGTATCTTACATCCCTCCATGTTCTCTGGTAAGCCTGATGGTTCATTTTAAAGTCTCCTGTGACTGCTATAGTTACAAAGTCCCACTGAGTTGATTAGACATGGATTGCATCCTAGTCTTTGTCATCTCTGGACATAACTGCATAACTTTCCTCTAGGATAAACAGTTCTCTCCAGGGACAGCCCTAGGCCAAATGGTGCCCCACAAGGGGAGCATCTTTTGACATCCCCTTTGTTCAGCCTTTGAAAAATCATTGTTTATATCTCATTTTTAGCCCATTTCATTACTGTGATGCACAATTTGTTTTCATTTATCATCATCATCATCATCATCACTACCTGCTCTGCATCAGAAGATCCCAGGGCAGGTTACAGCATCATAAAATAAAAGATTAAAAACAGCTCAAAACAAATTACAACAACAACAACATATTATTATTATCCCACCCATCTGGCTGGAAAAGAACTGTGGAGTCAGAAACTTAAAAGCTGCAAACAGTCCAAAAGTTTTTAAGTAAGCTGAAAACACTGGAAAGTTTTTAGAGAGCAGGTCGGCATTGCAGCATAAGGCATGAGAGGAACATGAAAGGACCCATACGGTAAACTGAGGGATGCAAATAATAATAATAATAATAATAATAATAATAATAATAATATATTACTTATACCCCACCCATCTGGCCAGGCCTCCACAGCACTCTGGGCAGCTACCAACAGAATATTAAAAACACAGTACAACATCAAACATTAAAAACTTCCCTAAACAGGCTGCCTTCAGATGTCTTCTAAAAGTCAGATAGTTGTTTATTTCCTTGACATCTGATGGGAGGGTGTTCCACAGGGCGGGCGCCACTACCCAGAAGGCCCTTTGCCTGGTTCTCTGTAACCTCACTTCTTGCAGGGAGGGAACCGCCAGAAGGCCCTTGGCGCTGGACCTCAGTGTCTGGGCTGAACGATGGGGGTAGAGATGCTCCTTCAGGGATACTGGGCCGAGGCCGTTTAGGGCTTTAAAGGTCAGCACCAACACTTTGAATTGTGCTTGGAAACGTACTGGGAGCCAATGTAGGTCTTTCAGGACCGGTGTTACATTGTCTCAGAGGCCACTCCCTGTCACCAGTCTAGTCACCAGTCTAGCTGTTGTATAACTTATATGTCAGATATATAACATGAGAATTTACATGCATGGACCTGATAAAAATTACTCACAATCTCTCTCACGCACTACTTGAACACAGATGCATAATTTCCCCTCAAAAAAGAAAAGTCAATACAGCACGGCTTGTGCTAGCCACTGTTTGCCAGCTTTACAAGTGAATAGAATCACTGAGTTCTGCTCAGCACTGGGGTGGGAGGGTGGGCCTCATCGCATGTGCAAGACGTCACACCCATTGGGATGAGGCCACAAGGCCCAATGCCACCACGGGGAGGCCCCAAGAGGCCCGGCCCCTCAAGATTGGGCGGGAGTATCATCCCTGTCCCCACAGCCTTGGGCGGGGCTAAGATGTCCTCAGCCCCATAGAGTTAGTGCCTATGCAAGTAATAATTAGTTGTTTGCCCTATTTATTTCATCTGTTGATATTTGAGTAGATAGCCCATGACAGGAGCCTTTCCCCAAAGCATAGTGTCCCCCCCTCAAGCCCAGTAACACAGGCTGTTCCCTAAATTAGCTGCTGATCGCCGAAGAATTGATGCTTTTGAATTATGGTGCTGGAGGAGACTCTTGAGAGTCCCATGGACTGCAAGAAGATCAAACCTATCCATTCTTAAGGAAATCAGCCCTGAGTGCTCACTGGAAGGACAGATCGTGAAGCTGAGGCTCCAATACTTTGGCCATCTCATGAGAAGAGAAGACTCCCTGGAAAAGACCCTGATGTTGGGGAAGATGGAGGGCACAAGGAGAAGGGGGCGACAGAGGACGAGATGGTTGGACAGTTTTCTCGAAGCTACCACATGAGTTTGACCAAACTGCGGGAGGCAGTGGAAGACAGGAGTGCCTGGTGTGCTCTGGTCCATGGGGTCACGAAGAGTCGGACATGACTAAACGACTAAACAACAACAAAATCCAGCCCCAGTTATCTGTAATAACCACATGCAAGCACAGTACAGAATAAGTAAAATTTGACAAAGTAATTAGTAAAAAAAAGCAAAACAAAAGCAGATTGTCTAGGTCTTCGCAGAGTAAATGATGTGATTACCGTCCCCTACTTGACGTTCGTCTCTTGCCGTTTGCATCAATCAAGAGAGCATAATTAAATCTCTTTCTCTTTGTGCCACATACATGACTTCACTCTCGCATTGTATTCCATTTTCAGTAACCCAGACTACAGCATTCTGGTTCCATTCTCACTGTGCTTAACATGCATTAGAGTCCTCTTTGCTTTTAAGCAAGCGTTGAAAGGCTGCCCCTCTAACAACGAACTGTAAATCTGAGGACATGATTAATGGCAGTTTAGGTGTACTGGGTCATGCTGAGTGACATTGCATATACACTTTACAAATATAAACAGCAGGTGTTAGTCACACATTCCAGTAAAACATCATTTAGAGGCACTGTTTATATAGGAAACATTTTTTAAAAGCATTGCCATTTTGCACTGACCTTTAATTTGTCTAGGGAGGGGGAGGGAAACCATTTCCTTGATTTTCATACATAATTATCTATGGCATATTTTTCCAGATATCAAAAGCCGATAGATCTACTTAGGAATGAAAGAGGGGATGCAAGTGTCATCTCAGAGCAGAGTCCTGAATCTTATAGCTTCAAAGGAAGTTCAAAGGAAATAAAAAGAGATGGGGGAATCATTAAGCCATCAGTGCCACTGAGAATCTCCTCTGAGTTAACTTTCCTGCTCTATGCCACTGAGCTCCTTGGAGGAACGGCAGGATATAAATGTGATTAATAGCCAGACTAACTAAATAACTGGAATCCTGATCATGCCCGAAGACTTGTGACAATTTTCGAGGCAGACTTTTCCACAAGTAAAATTAAAAATATATTCGAGACATGCCTAGTTGAGAAAAAGCACTCTTAGGGTGCCTTCAGATTGTCAGTATTTTTGGGGGGTGAATGAATAATTGTTGGGAAGTTATGTAAACACCCTGCAAGCAAATCAGGATGGATGATCATTTTTGTATAACCTCCCTGTATAGAAATCAGAATGAAATCACAATCCAAGACTGGGTATGCTCCCTGGTGTTACTGAACTACAGTTTCAATCAGCCCCAGCAGGTACGGCCAATGGCTAGGAATGCTGGGAGTTGCAGTTCAGAAATAACTGGAGGGCAAAATGTTCCCTATACCTGCTGTAGACAAATAAGAATGAATGCACAATAAAGACCCAACACAGTCTAACCACTGCATATGCTTTGGGCAAACAAATCGGGATGAATGCTGAATGGGTAAGTTTTTCTGGAGGAAAAGGAGATAGCTCAGTTGGAAGAGCATGAGACTATTAATCTTAGAGTTGTGGGTTCAAGCCCTGTGTTGGGCAAAAGATTCTGGCATGGCAACGGATTGGACTAGATCAGTGGTTCTCAACCTGTGGGTCCCCAGATGTTTTTGGACTACAACTCCCATCATCCCTAGCTAGCAAGGCCAGAGCTCAGGAATGATGGGAGTTATAGTCCAGCAACATCTGGGGACCCACAAGTTGGGAACCGCTGATCTAGATGATCCTTGCAGTCCCTTCCAACTCTACAGTTCTATGATTCTATGACACACACACCTCAAGTTGGTTACTGATTTTTTTAATATGATAAAACACCTAGACAATACTAATGAGTTGCCCGGTTTTTCTCACCATGCTGTGCTCCTCAAAGCATTGCTGTTTGGTAACTGAGTTCTTGTTTAGGGCCACAGATGTAAAATCAAGACTTACAAAGACAAGATAGTAAAGGGTCTTCAGAATCTGATTTTTTTGCTGCATCTATCATGGCTGCATTTAAGCAACTGTGTCTTGGCTTGAATGCTTAAACGCAGCCAATGTTTCGAGGTTTCCCCCTTGAAACTGATTGCCAAGTAGGAATGTACCCAGCTCTTAGCTTTAGTTCCTGAAGCTTGACTCTGTAATGTAAAGGATTCTAACTGAGCTTTAATCTCATATTCTGCTCTATGACTCCTGATGTGTTGCATGTAAAGGGCAGAGAAGGACACCAGGCCTGCCAATTCCCCCCCTTTTTTTGTTTATGTCCTCTTTTCAAAGGAAATGTGCAGCTGCAGGTGTTATCCTTAAAGGCTTGGGCAGCAACCTGGAAACAGCACTTAAAAACCTCCACTAATACAATTTTGCACCCGTACATGAAAATTTGCATTTTTATAGCTCTTTTAATCTCATAACAGTTTGTTAAAACTGGGCAGGCATTTCTAAAGAAAGCTCCTGCCTACTCAGGTGGTTTCAAATGACTGTTGTAAAAAAAGGATAACAACTACAATTCCATGTTCAAAATGGCTTGATGTTTGCTCATTTAAAAATGTTATAGTTAAACTAAAAGGACATTTTAGCTTTTGATCTGGTTGAGAACATGCATGCTTTGGATTTGCATATGCAGCACCAGGGGCCTTTTATTTAACTGCCGTTACTCTGGAAAAAGCATTGATCCCAGAGAAAAAAGAATGACAAAGTGGTGTCCAGGTGGTCCGTCAATTGTGCTTCTCTGGAATATCCAACGGGGAAATATTCTATCTATCTGTGCTGCTCCTTGCACACAGAACATGTGGATTTTATTCACTATGTGGAGAGAGGCATGGACTGGCATTAAAGGGGGGCACTGTCAACATCCCTTGTCCCCGAGTCCCTTGCCCAACTGCTCTTACTTTATTCCAGTCTGATTTTCCTGAGTGAATGAGCAGCCACCGGAACAGGGAAAAGGAGCATCAGTTTCCACATATCTTGTCCTTTCCCCAAGGACTGCATGTGTCCTTTGGGTCTAAAAGCAAGGACAAGGAGAAAGCAGTGGTGTAGAGTGGGTTGACGGCACCCGGGGCTGCATGAAGGGAGGGAAACAGGTGGAGTACGCATGCACATTGAACTGCCCAACAGTGTCTGCGTTACCCAGGAGATCGCAGCCGCAGTTATAAGAAAAGAAGAGTTGTTCTGTTGTCTGGAGAGGGCACTTCCTGGTTCGCAAGGAGAAGTCGTTTTCAATGGAGACCACCAATGGAAGCATGCAGCTGTATTGAGGCAGCACCAGGTGCTGAAATTTTGCGCCCCTAACAATTTTGCACCCAGGGCAACTGCCGCAGTACACCCCCCCCCCACTACGCCTCTGGGAGAAAGAAAGATAACAGTGTGGTTGAGGACCACTCATCTACCAAATTTGGAGCTGGCCCTGAAGATAAGCAATAATTGCCCTTCAGTTTAGTTTAACAAAGGGGACGTGGGTGGCACTGTGGTCTAAACCACAGCGCCCAGGGCTTGCCGATCGGAAGGTTGGCAGTTCGAATCCCTGCAATGCAGTGAGCTCCCGTTGTCCAGTCCCTGCTTCTGCCCACCTAGCAGTTCGAAAGCACATCAAAGTGCAAGTAGATAAATAGGTGCCACTCCAGTGGGAAGGTAAATGGCGTTTCCATGCGCTGCTCTGGTTCGCCAGAAGCGGCTTAGTCATTGTTAAGTTGTGGGCGTACATAGCAGACGACACAGCGATTCTTCAAACAGCTCTTCTTTATTCAGATGTCAGAACAGAACTAACTTAGGAGCTCAGTCAGCCTGCTTATATAGAGCTCCAGAACACTGTAACTGTTGCCGTTTTCTAAAACTATCCAATCACTGAACGTCACTTTTCGATCCTTCATTTGCATACAAACTATCCAATCACTGAACGTCACTTTTCGATCCTTCATTTGCATAACTATCTACAGTATCCCCCTGCTGGCCCAGTGTGAGAACTTCAGTACATAACACCCCTCCCCGAGATAGGCATTAGTTACAATCGTAATGGTTTCCTTATATACAGCACTACACGTAATGGTTCAATTAGGCACAAAAGCATATCGGTTACATTTCACATACTTAGACCAACAGTGATACATGTCCAGCAACATAGTCCTTTAAATAAGTTGGGCGCTTGGAAACTCTGACAGACCGCCGGGGACTGGTAGCCAAGTCCGGGGGGGCACACAATTCTTGCTGAGGCTGTGGTGCGACCCTAGGTGGCATTGAAACCAAATCCCCTGGATCCGCTGATGTGGGTGGAACCACTGCAAGTGGAGTGGTCTGAGCCTGAGGTAAGTCTGGCAGACCCTCTGAAGTGGCTTGGTTCGGCTCCACACTGGCAGTTTGCGAGGGAGGTGTAGGTGGAGTCTCGCCATCTGTAAGTGTCTCTTCCGGAGCCACGAGCGCAGTTGGGGGCACCACGGTAGTGTCCAAGTCCCCAACCCTGCGCCTAAGCTGGTCTATGTGCCGGTGCCACAAGCGTCCGTCTTTGAGTGCCACCTGGTACGAGCGAGGTTCAGTGACTCCCACTACTGTGGCTGGCACCCAAGGAATGTCTCCCACATAGTTCCGGGCAAAGACCTGGTTCCCTGGAACAAATGACCGTGGCACGTTGGCACAGCCTGGGGGTTCGGCCATGGCAAAGTCCGGGTGCAGCCGGTCGAGCAGTGACCTGAGGCGGCGGCCCATAAGCAGTTCAGCAGGACTCCGCCCTGTGGCCGCATGAGGGGTGATGTGTTGCACGAACAAGTATTTGGCGACCCGCTTGTGCCAGTCTCCCCGGTCCAGGCGCGCCAGTGCCTCTTTGCCGAGCGCACCATTCTCTCCGCTTGCCCATTGCTGGATGGATGAAATGGTGCCGTTAGGGCATGGCGGATGCCCAGTCCCAAAAGATACCGCTCAAAAGTGCCTGACGTGAACTGCGGTCCGTTTTCGGAGACAAGGACATCAGGACACCCATGCATCGCAAACAGGCCTCGCAGCACTCGAATGACGGCCTTGGTAGTGGTGGAGGGCATCAGGGCCACCTCCAGCCATTTGGAATAGGCGTCCACCACTACCATAAAGGTCCGGCCGTGAAAGGGGCCGGCCAGATCGATGTGCACCCTCGACCAGGGTGTCTTTGGCGTCTCCCAGGTGTGTCCCTTAGCTGCCGGTGGTGCAGGCCTCGATTCTTGGCACGCTTGACAGGCGGACACCCAGGCAGTGATGGCATCATCCATGTTAGGCCACCAGACGTAACACCGAGCCAACGCCTTCATTTTGACGATTCCCGGGTGGCCAACGTGCAGATCCTCCAGGACGCGTTGACGGAATCTTTGGGGAATCACGACGCGGTCTCCCCACAGCAGACAGCCACGATGAGCCGAGAGTTCATGTTGTCTGGTTGCGAACGGTTGGAACTCCGATGCAAAAGGCCCTTGTGGCCACCCCCTCCACACCCAGTTGAGCACACGGCTGATGGTGCGATCCTGGGCAGAGGCAGAGGCCACAGTGGCAGCCGATACAGGCGCTGCCGGAAGATCCTCAATCAGGAGGAGCAATGAAGCTGGAGCTGGAAGAGGGCAACGGCTGAGGGCGTCGGCATGGCCCATCGATTTCCCCGGGCGATGGACGAGCCGGTAGTCGTAGGCAGCCAGTAAAACAGTCCATCGCAGCATGCGCGGCGAGAGGACCGGTGGAGTTGGACGATCACCGGCGAGGAGGCCCAGGAGCGGCTTGTGGTCAGTGATGAGGTCAAAAGTCCTGCCATAGAGGTATTCATGGAACCTCTTTACTCCAGCCACAAGTGCCAGTGCCTCCTTGTCGAGCTGGCTGTAATTCTGTTCAGTCAGAGATAGCGTCCTGGAAAAGTAGGCAAGCGGTGCTTCTCTTCCGTCTGGAAAACGGTGACTAAGGACAGCGCCGATGCCAAAAGGTGAGGCGTCGCAGGCAAGGACCAGCGGCCTGGCTTCACTGTACTGTACCAGCACACTGTCTAATGAAAGGAGAGCCTTGACCTCGTTGAAGGCCGCCGTCTCCCGATGACCCCAGGACCAAGGCGTCTTTGTGCTGAGGAGTCGGTGAAGAGGCTCTGCCACTGTGGCTTTGTGGGGCAGGAACATGTTATAAAAGTTCAGCAGCCCAGGAACGCCTGCAACTCTGTCTTGTTCTTTGGGATGGGGGCCTGCTGGATAGCGCGGATCTTCAGTACATAACAGTCATGCTGGCCACATGACCCGGAAGCTGTCTGCAGACAAACACCGGCTCCCTTGGCCTATAGAGCGAGATGAGCACGCAACCCGAGTCGTCCATGACTGGACCTAACAGTCAGGGATACCTTTACCTTAGTTTAACAAAATAAAAGCAGAGTGTCAGACCTGACTCATACAGAAATGGGGGAAATATGCTTAAGACTTCCCTTCCACCCCCCCTTTTTACCCAGTACTGCCCCACTTCCCCAAGCAGCCTTTTGCTCTGTAGGACATAAAATATAGATTGAACAGACCTACTCTTAGCCATTGTTCTATTGCAGCCTTCCTCAACTTGATGCCCACCAGATATTTTGGACTACAACACTCGTCATCCTGACCACTTGTCTATGCGGTTCCTGGGGATGATCAAATCAGGGTTTCAAGCATGGGGAAGGGGAAGAGGTTCCAGAAGGCTGTACTGCAACATAAAATCTCAAAGGTGCAGACCTGACTCAGCCATAGTCTACCTGGTGGCTTTTAAGCTGAAGTTCGTAACAGTATACGTGAGCCAGAAATTTCCAGAGGCTTTGCTGCTGCGTTATCAAGAACTTGACTGCAGGCTCCTAGGAAAATGTAATTCACCTATATCAGAACGAACGACAGGCGTGAATAATAACAAGGTGGTATGTGTGCTTTCCATTCTACTCTGGCAATTAGCTCAGCTTCGCTTGCTAATATACAAGTAAGCTTGGCCATGAGTGCGAACCTTTGGGGAATCCTGCCATTGTTGATAGTGGAATCAAGCACTCTTTCTGCACATGGAATAAGTTATTTTCAGCAGCTATTTTAATGAGTAATTTCCCCCAAAGAAGAGCCATCTGCTTGAAATGCGTTGGGAACTTTGGAACTGCAGCAAATCTTTCCTCATCGAAATGTCTCTTGCTACTTATCATGGTAACGTGTTGCCCCTTTGCTGTTGGGTTCATGTAGCATTGAAAGCTATTTAAATGGGGTGGAAATCTGTTATGTGGGCACAACTTGGAGGTGGATTCCTCTGGGCCTGAGGGTGGGAGCACAGAGTGGATAAACAATGTGGAGCCAGGGGTGGAGTTTAGCATTTTTCAGTTCTGCTGGAGATAAGGTGGCCACTTGAGTATCACCATGGAGAGGATATAGACTTGCATAAGACGATAGTTCAGTTGGTAGAGCATGAGAATCTTAATCTCAGGGTCGTGGGTTTGAGCCCCACATTGGGCAAAAGATTCCTGCATCACATGGTGTTGGACTAAATGACCCTTCCAACTCTGCAATTCTATGATAAGATAATTTATATGCATGGATAAAGATGCTAATTTAGCAATAAATGGTGCAATTTAAATAGAAATACATTTCACCATGCGGGAGGGGGGAACTCTGACCAGGTGACTCACGTGGCTTCTCAGCCTGCTGTTGATAGGTAATTTCAGGGCCTCTACTCTCCCTGCTTTTGGTTATTTATTATTAAGCAAGACTTCAAGATAAGGATCTGACAATGCAGGATTTCATCATGCTGACAGCCCTTCAGATATGCAGCCTGTGTATTGTAATGCCATGAGTGTTGGATTAGGGCCCGAGAGACCAGGATTCCAATCCCCATTTAGTCATGAAGATCACTGGTGACCTTGGAGCAGTGTCTGTTTCTCAGGCTAACCTACCTTGCAGGGGGCTGGTGAGGATCAATTAAGGAAAATGAGAACCATATACACCACCATGGATTCCTAGAAGGAAAGGCAGAAAATTAAGAATAGTACATATTGTCACTATCATTATTGCAGTTGACACTGAAGTTTAGGTGGGTTCCCACGAGGCAAGACACAGTGATAACAGCAAGAACCTTTATTGAACTAACAGAACTGGACAACAGGGGCAAAGCAGCTGCTTATATATATTTCTGAAGGCCTGGGCCACTCCCACTCCCAACGTGATTGGCTGTCTAAACTTCCAAGCTGCGAATCATAACTCAGAGTTTAATGGCCAATGGCAGAGGCCCAAATCCTGAAATGTTCTGTGATTGGATGTTGTTGTTGTTTAGTCGTGTCGTGACCCCATGGACCAGAGCATACCAGGCACTCCTGTCTTATCAAATCAGAACACAGGGGCTCAGAATCCTTAGTCCAGACTCAAGCTCAGGCAAACACAGACCACTGAATACATAACAGTCACAATCATCAAAGGTTGGTGAGTCCAGTGGCATAATGGCCCCTCAAACATTATATGACTATTAGTAGTAATCAGGACCAGCCCACCCATGAGACAAGGTGAGGCAATTCCCTCAGGTGACAGGATTCATTGGGGAAGCAGATCCCAATGTCAATCTCTCTTTCCCCCTTGATCCTATTGTTTCCCCTTGTTCCTTACTCCTTCTTCCGTTGTGGGGAGAGAGGTGCCATTTTGAGGTCCACCTCAGGTGCCAAAATGTCTTGGGCTGGTCCTGGTAGTAACAATCTACAAAATCCATCTGCCCGGGGGAGAACTGTGGAGGCTTTTTTAAGAGGAAGAGGAGGAGGAGCAGGAGGAGGAAGAAGAAGAGAGCCCTTTGATTTAAAAAGCAGCATGCTTCTTCAACAGTTAAGAGCAGGTTTAGCAGAATCTTGAAAGCAGCATTTGCTTGTGTGTCGTATTTATGGTTCTGCATGCAAAGCTTTCCAAGTTCAAAACTGTGGTCTATGATACTTCTGTTCTTTAGCAGGAGATGCATGCGTGTTAATGTAGTATCATTGCACATGTTGTCAGGTACCGAGCCCTGGAATGGTACACAAAATCACAGAACTGCAGAGTTGGAAGGGGACCCCAAGGGTCATTGAGTCCAAACTAAGCCCCAAATCCTAGATAGTTAAGCGGTAAGAAAAAGCTTTGCTGTATTAAATTAGATTGAAGGAGGGGATGGCGGCTATAAAAATAGACTTTATTAAATTATTAGTATCATTATTTGGGATGTAGTCAGTGTAAATACTTTAATCATATTCAAATGCTGAAGTATCTCTTATCTGATTAAATTTTTATGAACGTATTAAAAAAGTAAAGGTGGCATATTAAGATAACTCCACATGGCTTCCCTAAGGAGTGAGGAATGGAGGATCAAAAGCCTGATTAGTGCCTAATGAGGAACCTTCCTTTCTCACATAAAATTAGACTGATTCTAAAGTGTCATACTCAAATTATGCAGCAGCTTCAACAAGACTGCCACGGTGCTGGAGAGCCAGAATATGAAGTAATCTAACGTAAATTAAAATGTGTGCAAGGGTCTGAGGCAATCGTTTCTGAAGTTACAGAACTCTTTTAGTGATAGTCCTCCCCCCCCGCCCACAGTTGTGGTTTTTTCTTAAGCTTTATTTTTCAGTATTGGAAAATGCTTTTAACAAACAATCCCCAGATACCCACAAGAAACAGTGTTGATTTGGGGAGGTGCTGTGACATTTTCCCAACTTGGCTACAGGGGGGTGCCTTGCCAAATGCAAGGTGGTTCTTTTAAAATTAGATTCAGAGGCAATACAAGACAGAAGTGAGTGAGAAGATTGAAGATTTTATTCTAAACAGCAAGCAATATATACATTACCAAGCAAGCACTTCTTTCTGCCACTTGGAAGCCCTCAAGAAGAGGCGAAGTGATTCCCCAGGTAGCCATCTCAGTCATCAAAGAGCTGAACAAGAGATAGAGAGGGGGAAGCAAACAGAGGAAGGAAGGGTAATCAGGTTACATCACTAACTCCTTGAAATACAAATATTTTCTGTCCATACAGGGGGAAATGTGACAGTGCAGTCTCCTCATCTGCATGACATGGTTCGCTGAACTATGGTTTATTGGATCTGCAAGAATGTATGGACTTGTTGAGAGTTACCTCACAGCCACTTTGCTCTCTTGTATTTATTTAGTCCCATGCTATGTTGAGCTAATCCACAATTTGGTTTAGTGTGTGATCTAAACCCTAAAGTTAAAGGGACCCCTGACCATTAGGTCCAGTCGTGGCCGACTCTGGGGTTGCGGCGCTCATCTCACTTTACTGGCCGAGGGAGCCGGCGTACAACTTCCAGGTCATGTGGCCAGCATGACTAAGCCGCTTCTGGTGAACCAGAGCAGCGCACGGAAATGCCGTTTACCTTCCTGCCGGAGCAGTACCTATTTATCTACTTGCACTTTAACGTGCTTTCGAAAAGCTAAGTTGGGAGGAGCAGGGCCCAAGCATTGGGAGCTCACCCCGTCGTGGGGATTCGAACCACCGACCGTTGGATCGGCAAGTCCTAGGCTCTGTGGTTTAACCCACAGTGCCACCCGCATCCCTTATGATCCAAACCCTAGCTTATGGTTAAAGTTTTGCCTCACTAACCATGTGTTGTAGGCAAGGATCTGGTAGGTCATAATTTGGCTTACCCGGTTGTACAAACAAGGCCCAATATGTACACTCAAGTGATATACACATTTACACCTAGTCCATCATTGCCTTTCCCACACTGACCAAGCAAATGGGGTCGGGGAAGCCCACAAGCAACACTTGAAGGTAATATTGTGTTTGTGCTGTTGTGTGTACAACATGATATGGCTCTTCTTCACCTAAGAACCATTCCATCAGCCTGCAGCAGAGAGAGGGTCAAATATCAATACATGCCTAAGCAATGAAAAATCACAGACACATTTCGCTCAGCTTTTGCTTTAATGTGCCATTGCAAATACATATTTTTAAAGCACGACGTAGGGTGCTAAATCGGGGCCCGGGGTCCTTAGTCTCTTGTCTTTTGAACAACATTTCCTTTCCTGAGGATGAAGAGAATCTGTCCTCTTCCTGCTCCCCTTTCCTACAAGGAAACTTCGTAATTATTTTCAGCTGAGGTGCTAGAAGAAGCTACTGAATCAGTAATCAGGTCTGTGTTTGATTTTCATGAACATTCCTCTGCCTGCCTTTACCTAAGGCTTCCTTTGGCCTTCATCCAAATCTCAGGCACATCAAGACTGCAGACTGAAACTGATTCAGCAGGCATTCCCTCTCCTTTTCTAATAATCCTGAAAACTTGTACTTTTGTGAGAAAGGTCAGGGATCTTCCCCAGTTAATTCTCATGAGCCACCTGCTATTGGCATAAAACCTAGATATTGCGCTATTGCCTAGATTCTAGGTCTCTCTGCTGGCAATAATTTCTTTGTCAGAATTTTTTTTAAAGCGAATTTGCTATAGCTTTTCTTTTCTTTTTCAAAAACCAATGTTGCAGCCCCTGTTTTTTAAGAAATTTGAGAAGCGGGCAGGCAATGCTCTGGCCAGTGGTTATGTTAGAAGTCAGCCTGCCCCTGCCTTTTGATAAGTTTGTGGAAGTGACAGTCTTGACAGAAGCCAGTGAGATTGTGATGCTGCCTACACTATACATTTTAAGCTGTTTCATACCATTTGACACAGTCGTGGCTTCCCTCAAAGAATCACGAGGGCTTTGTTAAGGATGGTGAAAGTTGTTGGGATATCCCAATTCCCCTCCTAGAGCTACAGTTCTGAGAGTGGTTTAACAAGTCAGTCCAAGGAACTGTTTCCAAGGAACTCTAAGAACTGTAGCTCTGTGAGCAGAATTGTGGGACATTGTTGGAGTCAAACCAACAATTCATGTTTTGCCAGACAGGCACATGAAGCGGCTGAGGCTCACAGAGATTTCCTGTAAAATTTGCTAGAGAGAACCCTGTGAGATCATTTCCTTTGTCTGCCTTGGCAGGAAGGTGTAACACTACATACCTCCTGCCTGCCTGGGTGTCCACCTGTTTCTTCATCACGCCTCCAAGCTGACTCCACAGGCATTTGAAACTTAGATGTACTTTTGTAACTTAGTATTTATAAACCTGTCTTCATTATTGCTACTGTAACCGCTGCTTCGAGACCTAGTTTATGTAAGTAAATACTACTTTGAATTCTTCACAAAACAATGTGTGTGTGATTGTTGTTTTTAAGAGGGTGAGGGCTAATACCAGGGGAAAGCATCCTGAATTATTGTTTCTAGAAGGTTAAATCAACCTTGTCTTAGCTCCTCAGTTTAAGCTGCAAAGGATGGTATTCTGCTGATCTCACTCATGTGAGCAAGGAAGGATTATAAGTAAACGGGTCTAAATCCATTCCTATAGGAATAAGGGTCTCCTAACAACTTTCAGCACCCTTCACAAACTACAGTTCCCATCATTCTTTGAGGGGCCATTACTGTTTCTTTGATGGGATATTATGGTTTCAGGTGTTATGACACTGTGCACATGAGGCCTATTGATTTCCCTCCTCTACAATGAAAAATGTGAGATTAATTTCTGCCCCACCCTTTATTAAAATAACTATACTTTTAATTTTCCAGAGTCTTAGCCAGAGGATAGTCAACACAGTACCTGTGAGAATGATATATTTGCAGGATCTTAAATTCAAAAGTAAGCCTTCTAAAGTGCTGCTTGTTCATAGTTCTTCAGAGGAAACTATTCATTTTGTCTTGCCTATTATTTTCTTAGTGGCTGCTGCTGGGGTTTTTTTTTGTTTTTTTGTTTTTAAATTTCAGCCTTTTGGCCTTCATATTCTGTCCCTTCTCATCTCAACATTGTTTTGTTACTGTATTTTGATCCTTAGTACCTTTTCATTTTCCTTTGCTAGTTTGTGGGTGAGAGGCTGCCTTGTCATTTCCCAAAAGCACAGGAAGACAAAAAGGACCCAAATCACAAGTGTAAAAAGAGGTACTGGTGGGGAAAAAAAGAATGTCTGAGAGAAAGAAGGGAAAGTAAGTCATTTTGTGTTAGCAAAGTCACTTAAATGACACAGATGAGGTCCAGAGAGAACAGTCTTTATAACACTTTGCTGAACAAACTGAACAAAAGCAGTATTTACATTGAGAAGGGATAAACATATATTTTATCTTTCTGACTTTGGGCCTTGTACATAGCAGGTTGGCATTCAACTAAACATACAGAAGAAAACTCCCTCAGAACTATACAACCAATCAGAACACACACTAAATCAGTGGACACCATGCAACTCTGTCAGGTTGCTAAGCAACACCTCAATGCCATTTGTTAGCTGACTTCCTGATAACAAAATTAACCTTTAAGTTATCCATGGAATGATCTCTGCTGTTGCACTTCCAACACACTGGAGGCATTATGATTTGAAGGTTGGCTTGACCTGTGCCGTTGTGGTTATTCACAGGCTATATATGCTCAACTTTGCTACCTTTTATCAGCACAAATTCTAGGATTTGGGGCTAAACATGCACAGACTTCCTTACCCTCCCAGGGTAAAGAAGTCATATAAACAAGCTTGCAGAGAAAGCATGGGGATAATGCTTTGTTACTTTGTAAAGAAAATCCTCATTTCCCTAGAGATGGTCAAGTGAGCTGTGGAAGATAGTGTTGTGCATTTTCCTTCTAAAGAAGTTCACACTAGTTCCTAGGTAGCTTAGGGTGAAATGGCATATTCTAATTCAAGATGGCTGACCTGACAGCATGACCCATGACAAAATCATTGGGAACAAGTCCCATTGAACTCAGCGTGGCTTTCTTCTGAGTAAGGTTGACCTGAAAAACAATTTCACACATTAATAAAGTGGCTTTCCATATTAGCTTTGTTTAAGGCATAGTTGAAAATCTGCGTGGTGCACCTTCCTGCCATATTCAGTGTTAATGGGGAGAGGTAGGAAATTGTTGATAAGCAAGTATTTGCCACAAGTGCTTTCTTTTGTCTCCCATCATGTTGGTGTCAATTTGCCAATCTTTAATTCAATTAAGTTTTCACTCAATTTTTCACTCAATTAAGTGAAAAATTGAAATCAGGGCTGTCGAATAGTCCGAAAGGGACCCCATCAAGGTTTCTTTGAAAGAGAAAAAACGAAGAAGTGGTGATCGCTAATTCTGCTGTCTGGATCAATACTTCTTTTCTCAATAAAAATAAACACTTTGTGACCTTTTCCCTAATGTGTTGTGGCTGCTGTGTGTTTACTGCATGCTTTAGTTCATCATTTGTGAGCTGTTTGAATTCAAAACCGAAAATGGCACCCTGTTTGATAGACTTTTAGTTGCCAGTATGGGGGGGGGGGAGGGTTGACAAACCGGGGCATTTTGTGTGAATGCTGCAAAGCAATTTACTTTTTTTGTGTGTCTGTCCATTCAAAACATTTCCACTTCTTTTCTCGAGTATTCAAAACATTAGATCAATGTGAAAATGCTGCTCATATTTAACAAGAATTTCATCAAGCTAACTAACGAAAGGAAATCTAAAAGCTGTTTATGCTAAATTTTCAAACTGTATTGTTCAGCTGCTGTATTAACAATGGCTGTGGGAACATAAAGGAAAGCAGCCTGAGGAAGATGAACCCTATGTCTTTTACTGTGTCATTATGAAGGGAGAATAGTCAGGAAAAGATGAGGCTTTGTTGGGAAAATTGTCCTTGAGATGTTCTTGTATCACCACCTGACTCTAAATAATAGGTATGCAAAGGAACTGCATAACACCACCTTTTAGGATGGATGGACCTGGGTATTTTGGGAACACAAGAGGATGTGATTCACCACTTTTATCTGGATACTGAATCTTGACAAATCCTCAAAATCATCTTCATTGTGGTGGCTATTACCTCCTACTTACAGCTGTCTTCCCAAGGAGAAGATGAGGACGTAATTATCCCGGGAACTCTCCAAAATGCACTTTAGAGAAGGAGAGAAAGCACAGATGATGGATTTTACTGCCCCTTCTTGAGACTACAGTGCTATGTCTGCCTTTCAAGTATAAGCCAATCAGGTTTGGCCGGTCTGATCAGCAGCACCCTGTCTCTTATTGTTTCTGTGTTTTGTGGGGAAGGGGCATTGATAACATATTTGCTGAGCTTATTGCTTGCCTGACAAATATCACACCAGGTGAGCTATTACTTTTCTTTGGTCACTAAAGTGCTTACCTGCTGTCCATAAAGCATAGCAGCTGAGAGCGATTGTAAAAGGCAGAAACAATTGAACCTAATGAGGCTGGTGGACTAGCAAACTGCATCAGCGATTGAAAGGACTAGAAGGTCACATCTTGGAAGAGTTTGTAGGTCCTTTGTTCATGTCTGGAAGGACAAAATCATTTTAGGAAAGGATAAAATCTACATTCTAGATGATAAAATCAAACCCTTAGTGGCCTTGAGGAGACCCATGGCTTAACCTTAGCGAAAGTTGCATTGATGCTGTTCTGGAGCAAATTCATCACAGAAGGAGCACAGATGGCCTATACACAATCAGGGTTTATATTGATTAAATTGTGTTCCAAGACTGGGATGTGATTTGTTTTGGAAGCCTAAGACTACATTTCTAATTTTCCACAGTCACAGTTAACTCTTTTAACACAGATTACCAATACATGCAGAAGAAAGGGAGTTGTATAGCTCAGTGGCACAGCGCACACAGAAGGCCCAGATTCAATCCCTTGTGTTTCCAGTTAAAACAGGACCAGGTGATGCAATCAAGTAGCTGGTGACATCTTCCAGGGACCTTGGAGAGCCATTGCCAGTCAGAGTAGTTTAGACTTGTTGTTGCAGCCCAAGGACCATGCATGGCCCTCAGCCTAATTTCTAGTGGCCCGTAGCCTAGTTTCTGCAGGGTATCAGTTCGGACTTCAGGCACTGCTGGAATGCTTCCTCTAAGAGATTACCACTGTGAGAATGCAGCCAATGAGAGAGAAAAAAGTTCTCCCCGGCTAGGCTAGATGGACAAATATAGCTTCCTGTTTTCTCAATAAACATGCTCAAGGACAGCACGATCAAGAAGCTTCCTTATTCCTACCTTATAATTTTGGTGAGTGTTTCAAGAGACACGAATGGAAAATCCTCCTCACATAGTGTGTCGTTAACATGTGGAATTTGCTGCCTCAAGAGATGTGGTGGTGGCCCCAGACTTGGATGGTTTTAAGAGGGTGTTAGACAAGATGAAGGATAAAGCTGTTGGTGAGAGCATGAGGGCTGGCTGTGTGCATCCTCCAGGTTTCAGAGGCAGTGTGTCCCTGAGCTTCCCACTGATGGGGAACAACTGTGAGAGAGGGCCATTTCTTTCATGTCCAACTCATGGGCTTCCTAGAGGCAGCTGGTTGGCCACTCAACATCCCAGTCAACATCACATACATTTTTTTTTTGTGGTGGTGGTGAGAGATACACCCACCTTGCCAAAAGAAGAAGAAGACGAAAAGCCTAGGCCATATAGTTCCGTTAAACATTTGTGGGAAAGGTAGGCCATTCACATACTTAGCGACTCCAAAAGTAGGCAGTCTTCCCTCTGTCTCTTTGAGGGAACAGGTTGTATCTGTAATAAGGGTCTGTTCAGCAGGCTGCCTGCTGCCCTTTGGCTGGACAGTCCCTTCCATTCTTCTCTGAGACAAGATTATTATGGGGATAATTAATGTACATTAATCTTTGGCGGGTTCATGTTGCTAAATAATGTTGTGACTGTTTTAATCCCATTTAATGTACCCTCCTTCTGCCTACCATGGGCAACCGACTGTGATGTTTGTGTGTGTGGCAGAGAGAGAGAGAGAGAGAGAAGGTGGAAGATGAGATAGTTAGTTATTTGCTCTGACATTT